CCATGTACCCACTTACTCATCCACCCGCTCACCCATCCACCACCTGCCCATGGACCTGCTAATCCGCTAACCCACTCACCCATGTACCCATCTGTCCACCAACCCATGACTCATTCATCCACCCACGTTCTCAACTTACCCATCTACCCATATCCACCCACCCACCCGTGTACCCCCTCATCCATCCACCCGTGTGTCCACCCACCCACCCATCCATGTATCTGCTTGTTTACCGCCCGTGAATACACCTACCTACGTATGTGCACTTGCTCATCTATCCATCCACCCATTCATGTGCCAGCTCCTTTGTTCACTCACCCATTCCTGTACCACTCACCAATCCAGCACCCCCTCTCCTCCATCCACGCCCACTCATCCGGTGGTCATATATACTCACCTCCTCGCTTCCCCATCCTTCCAGGTGGAAGAGGCCTCAATTTTTTGCACATTTATGAGCTGAGTCTCCTCAAGGAGCCACTATGAGATCGGTCGGAACCCCAGTCTAACCTGCGGGTCTGGCATCAGTCTCTAGATGTGCCCTCTGCCACCTGAACCTCCCCCAGTTCTGTGTGCCATGGCGCTGAGCGCGGTCACCTGGGGCTCATTGATGAGCCAGGTGGCACCTGGCAGCCACTGCCTCCGACGTGTGAAAACCACAAGCGCACCTTAGCCCAAGTATCTTCAGAGCTGATCACACGTGCAGGAACTGTGGTTTCACACTTCTCCGAACCTCACACACCTGATGGCAGGTTAACAGCCCCACTATGTAAAGCATCAGTGTTGTATTATTTCACAGCTATGTCAGCCTCCCCTCCCAACTAGCGTTTTACAAATAAGGCACTGAGCCCTTTTCAGCAACACTGACTTCAACGGACTCCAGAGGCAGAGACGGGCAGAGCAGGGAGAGGTCCCTGTCCCCTTGTAGGCCAGGGGGTGCACTGATTCCCGTAGGGTCCCAGGGAATGGCTGGATCAGGCTGTGTGGCCATACCTGCTGGGTCCTCCTGAGAAAGCCATGGGGAGGTGGGCACCCTTAGAAGGAAAACCATCTCTTTAAAGGGAGAGAGAGCAGGGGCATAGTTTCTTATGCTTTATTGTGTCAGGGTGGGGGTGGGGAATCACAACCATTACAGTAATATTTGGCACTTGTAGTAAAGACAAAAGGGAGAGCTTAGTTGCCCAAAGTTGTTGCAAAAGCAGTAAAGCACACAGGAGATTACCCATCTTTTTCCCACAAAGCAACTGGTGGATTCAAACCACATGCCTTTGAGAGATTGCAGTATAGCTTCTTATGACGAGGCCACCAGAGCTTCCCTAGATAAGGACATCTTTACTCTCCCTCTGTCTCTTTCTCTAAATAGATACTCATTTCTATTCAATATGTATATGTACACTATATATATGTGTGTGTGCATATGTGTGTGTATATATATATATATACACACACACACTCGATACTGTTATTCACTCACATACTGTTGGGTTTGTTTTTAACAATTTTTGGTCTCAGGTAACTAAGCACTCCTTCTTTTCATCTTAAAAAATATGTGTAATTTCTATTCTCATAATCTATACATTTAGGTTCTTGTGTACATTGTTGTATATCGATGGACATAGGAAGAGATGGCCCACCTTTTCCCACCGAGTAGCTTGTGGATTTGAACTGCATACCTTTGGGATGGCAGCACAGCTCTTACTGTGAGGCAACCAGAGCGCCTTGTACATTTATATATAATAAATCGGTTAAGGTGTCACCTTTCCACGAATCACTACAACTGTAATCACAGTGAATATTTTCACAATAACTCTTGGTAACGTCTTTGATGCAAAGTTGATACAATGGCCAGGAAAGTCTCTGATACCAGATCCTCTTAGCTTTTGTCAAGAGCTTTGGTCCAGCAGGCAGTGTCCACTCCTATGGAAGTGGGCCTTGTGCTAATGGATTGGTCCTTGAGCTGCCTCTGTTGCTCTGAAAAGGCTACGTCAAGGCCCGTTCTCTAGTCTTTTGCATGAATGTTAATTAACTTTCCCCAGGAAGGGGTCCACATACCCTCGTGTAATTCTAGCGATGCTGTGGCTGCTTTGGCGGGTTGACAGCTCCGAACACATGGGATTTCACACAGCATCTGGACGTCCTCTGAGGCCCAAATGCAGCCGCGCCATCACTGGAGGCCACGTGGCTGTGGGCTTCACCTAAACCCAGCTCTGCCATGAGGCTGGCGCTCAGCGTGGTGCTTTCAGAACTCTGCTCACCAAGGTCCTGCGCCCCTTACATCACATTTCAGCAGAACACTGAGAAAAGACAGCACCTGGTGTGCCCGGAGTTCACCAGAGCCTGACCAGAGTGGTGGCTGGAATTGACCAGAGTGGTGGCGTGTGGCCTGGACCCAAGGGTCTAGAATGGCAGCCCTCTGTCTGGGTCACTGTGCACACCCAGTGCCTTGAGCACCCCTGGGCTCAGGTTCTACCTCTCTGTGCATAAAAGGATTTTTTTAAATTTATTTTTTTTTAAGAGGCAAGAGTCAGAAAAAGAATCCTAGTTGGTGGAGATCAGGGTGACTGACTTTCAGCCCGGAAACCCCTCGCTGCCCCTCTGCAGGTGGGGACTGTCCCCCAGGCCCCACAGCCTCCGGAGGAGGCTGGTTTCTCACCCCCTCCCACGGCGAGGCTGGCCGCAGGAGGAAGGAAACGGTGCTCTGAGGGTCTGTTCTGGGTGCACACGGTACGGAGGGTGGGACTGGTCTGCTTCGCTGTCCAGAGAAGGGGACGGGGGTGACAGACCTCATTCAGCACAGTCAAGAGGTATCAGTGCCAGAATTCCAACTAAGCTCTAGGTTCCCCCAGGACCCTCACCCAGGCACCCTGTGCTCTCTCCATCCCCCTCCCTCAGCTCTGAGGGGGTTAGGGCCAGAGAGGGCTTCCTGATGGAGGGGGACTTTCCTGATGGACGGCCAGGTGGTATCTCCTGGGAGGGCTTCCTGGTGGAGGGGGACTTTCCTGATGGACGGCCAGGTGGTATCTCCTGGTAGCCTCGTGCCAGTGTGAGCCACGTGCGGAGACCCACGTGCAGATAACCGTGGCCTTATCACCTGGATCATGACCTGTCTCCATGGCCACAGCCTAGCAGGCTGCTCGCCCACGTGGACACACAGTCTGTACCCAACCCTGCACCTGCAGCAGGATGCAGCATTGGTGTGGCAATGCCAACACCGGGTCCGGGGGCCCAGATCAAAGGCTGGCAGCCTCCCCTGGCTCAAGCCCAGATGGCCACGACTCCTCGTGAGGTCTTAGTCGGGCTCGATCTGGATACCAGCCCCTCCCTAGATGGCCTGGGACCCTGGTGAGGAAGGCACAGGGGCCGTGACCACCCACTGGCGCAGGTAGCTCCTGGGGGGTCCCTCATCGCCTGGGCTGGTGAAGCCACGCTCCACAGGGCTCCCACAGTCAGAACCTGCAAAGCCGCTGTCGAAAGTGTCCATGTCCAGGGCGGCCGGGGGCGAGCCGACCTCACTGTCACCAGGCAGCCCTTCATCCCAGGGCAGCCCGGGGGTCCAGTCCACCTCAGGTTCCAGGGGCAGTGTTAGCCTGTCCAGGAAGCTGTCCAAGGGTCCCCCCAGCACAGCCAGGCTGCTAACTGAGACGCAGCCGCAGGAGAGGATAGTGGCCCCCGGGTCCAAGAGCGGGTCCTCGAGGGCCAGGCCAGCATCCAAGTCCAGGGCTGGATAGGCATCGTGGTCGCAGCTGCAGGCCCTGGCGCACGGCCCCTCTGCGTCCGCCACAGTCACTGTGTCGATGGACACCACACCATAGGGCCGGTCCCCGTCATCGCTGTAGCCAGACACTTCAGTGCTGCCAGCTGCAGAGGGGGCTACATCCCAGGGTCCTCCATCCACCTCCAGCCCATCAGGGGGCTCTGGGAGCTCTGTGGACACCAGCTCCTTGGCCGTACTTGGTAACGGGCAGCCACTCTGTTCCTCCAGCCTCGCGGGGAGTCCCAGGACCCCAGGTCGCAGCTCCAGGCTGGAGGCAGTGAAGGGTGTCCCCACCCATTTCTGTGGGAGAGACCCCCAAGAGTGATATTGGGGCATCAGCAGCTCCCAAGGCAAACAGAGACAGAGATGGGAGAGAGACCCAGATGCCACATCACAAGATGGAACGAGGCAGCCAGAGCCCGGTGAATCAGTACCACGCACCACTGTCCCTGCTCCTCTGTGCCTCGGTTTCCCCACCCACAGCATGGCTCATCTGCCTTCAGGAGCCTGCCCGCTGTGACCGCCTATGGTTCCACGGCCTCGGGTCTCTGGTGCAGGACCAGACTCCATGCGTGGGATGCCCACCCAGAGGGATGGCCTGAGGTCCGAGTGTCTGGGCTTCCATTCCTCACAGCCTGCCCCTCCTGCATGTGTTCCCCACCAGAGGGAACACGTGGTCAGGGCAGTGGCTCGACTCCCCGATTTCTCCGCTGCCTCCACACAGGAGGTGTTCAACTAATGTGTCCAACCGGATGAATGAGCCACGTGCAATGACAAGGTGCATGGAAGCACTTTAAAGATGGATGTGACTCCAAGTCCCTAAGCCCTTACGGCCCTTCTTCTCTCCCCTATCCAATCAGCAGAGAAGAACCACTGAGCCAGAATCTCCCACTTCGGGGTCTTCACACCCCATAAAAGCCCCTCAGAACCCGACCACGAGGCCACCACGAAAGATCTGCAGTCATTTCTTGGCTGTGTGGCCTTGTGTCGTTACTGACCCTCTCTGTGCTTCAGTTTCCTCATCTATAAAATGGGTCAGTGTGGGGATTCAATGTGTGAAAACACCCAGTGTAAATGCACAGAAAATAATGTGCATCAGAGCTGTGGGCCTATTTGGTTTACAGGGCCAGCGGGGCGCCCACCCTGCAGGGTGGCCGTGGGCAGGGCCCCCTGGGTATGGAACAAAGCACTCTCAGCGGGCTGCAGGAGCTCTTGCCATCCACACTTCCGGGCTTCCAGGCAGGGGCTGGAGAAAGGTGGGGCTGCCCCTCCCGACTCCCCACCATCACCACATCCTCTCGGCAGGACCCCTCCGCCCCCGCCGGAAACAGGCACGGATAACCTGTGGGCGCAGAGGGTGGCAGCGGTGCCTGGGGCCCAGGAGGTGGGTGTGTTTTGCAGATGAGCGCATCCCCTTCTCTGAGCCCTCTTACTCTCCAGCCCGTATCAAGGGCGACTGAGGAAGAACCGGAAGGCCATCTTTGGCTGGGGGTGTGGGTGGGGTGTGGGTGGCCTTGTGTAGGGCTGGGTCCACCCTCCACCACCCTCTCTTGGGATAAGAATAGAGCAGATCTCCGGAGAGGGTGAGAGGCTAGGGGTTGGGGTCCTCACCTTGAAGTCCCCATTGTGGCCTTCGTACAGGGGCCGGAAGAACTGTTCAGGGCTGGGAACCTGTGGGAACACCCACAGCTTCTTCTGCTGCCTGGAGGGGGGGGGACAAAGAGATGATGAGACCCCCACCTCAACTCCTGCAGGACCTTCTTTCATTCTGCCCCAAGACAGTCCAGACTACCTTCCTTCCCTCCCAAGGCCTGGGTTCCATATCTGTACAATGGGGGTAACAAGCCTCCCATGCAGATGCCTGAAGATGCATTGAGTTTAAAGGCTGCCAGCTCTTCAGGACCAGGCAAGTGTGGCCCTTCTGAGCCTTGGCTTCCTCCGTCGTCACTGGGATGGCCAAGTGCCAGCTCCACACGGCAGTGGAAGGCTATAGAGAGAAACCATCGCCCAGCCTCTGGAGTGCAGTGTGATACCAGGGTGCACCGGCACCACTATCCCCCACCCTACCTCTGTCTGTCAGTCCCTGAAGGAGGACCAACAGACAGGGCCATGCATGCTGCGGCACCACTATCCCCCACCCTACCTCTGTCTGTCAGTCCCTGAAGGAGGACCAACAGACAGGGCCATGCATGCTGAGCCCTGCCGGGCCCGGCACTTAGCCAGGACTCAGAAAACCACCACGAGTTTTCCTTAAATCAACAGCAATGACAATGGTCAGCAGAAACCCCAAACAGAAAACAGATTCAAGCCAAACCCCTCTGGTTGAAGCAGAAGTGGTGGATGGGAGGGACAGTCCCACTAAACCTCTACCCCCTGCCCTGGCGGTCCTGGTGCCCCTCCAATCCTGGGGTTCACAATGAGGCTAGGGCCCGGGCCGACCCCTTCCTGACTCTTGGCCTCACCTCAAAGGCAGGTTGAACCCCAGGCCCAAGAAGAAGACAAGGACAGCGGCCAGGATGACGAGGAGCGGGAGGTAAGCGTGCTTTCCTCTGGCCTCTGGGAAGGAAGCAGACCATGGGCCACGTTATGTTAACTTCTGCCATCTGGGGCCACATGGGGTGGGTGTGCGGGAGAGCTGGGCTGAGGGGCTGGGGCTGGGGGATGGGAGACTGCTGCTAATGGGTGGGGCTCCTGAAAGTGAGACAGATCTGAGTTCAAGTTCTGCTCACATCCTCACCCCAGCCAAGTGACTTCGTCTCTCTGACCTTCAATTTCCTTATGTGGAGACTAAGGGTAATGACCTCCAACCGCAACAGAGCAGGTGTATGTAGGAAGAAGCACCCAGCACCCACATAGGGCCCAGCTGCAGACAGGATGGGTGCACAGCGAAAGCCCATCTGTGGAGAATCACAGCACCAAACCCAGGCTGGTGGAGGAGGGCACGGCCACCCAGCACGGTACTCACCCTCTGGCTGGGTCTCAAAGATGACTGGGTCACTCCATTCGCTCCAAGTCCCCTGGAAGGAGGAGCCGGGCTGGGGCCCTGCCCGGACCTGCACCTCGTAGCTTGAGCCTTTTTGGAATTCCGTGGGAAGGAGGGAGATGTGTCTCGAGTCCACGGAGACCAGCTTTCTCACCGGGCTCTACCAGCAGGTGGGAAGGATGCTGGGTCAGGGTTCACCCAGGCCAGCCCGCTGCCCCAGTACCACCACCTTTAACAACCCTGCTCACAGGGGCTCTGTCTCCCAACAGGAGTCAAGGCCCAGGGTTTGCGATCTAGCGCTCCCATGTGCAGGCAGCGTAGTTCTGGGCACCGCCTCGGCCCCTCTGCTCCCTGAAGCCCTGGCCAGGACCCTCTCTTTCTGGGCCTTGGGGATACTCGACACAAGGCAATCATATGCCTGAGATTCTAACTGGAAGTATTCCACAGGTGGGCATGGTTTGAACGCTTCAGCAGAGGACCCTCTCGACAGTGGACATTTCTGGAAGCCTTCCACACAGACTGCTCAGCAGTGGACACCTCTGGCCATTCTCCACCAAGGACATTCTAAACAACAACACTCTCAAGAGAAAGTCTTTGCCATCACCGTTAGGAATGATGATGGTGCGTTTTGGCCTGCTTAGCCACGAAGAGTCTAAATACTGAGTCTTCCAGGAACCCCAATAGTGGACATGCCAAAGAAAGGACTCCTCTAGAAGCTGTCCCACTCAAAATACTGGGTCTTTATCAGTTTTAATGAATTGAGATTTCTAGAACTTTCTGAGATGGTCATTTTATAGAAGCGAGAAGGTTCCAGAGAGCCCTGGTCACCTCTTTTGTGACAGTATTAGAGCTGAGGTGGAAACTGAGGCAGCAACAATGGCCTCTCTTGGCGAGCTGGGGGTGGGGAAGGAACAGGGATGGGAAGGGTCTCCTAGCCTAGGGGGAGGCTGGGAGCCTGCTGGGTGGGTGTGTCCACGGTGTCCACTCTTGGCCATGACAAAGGTTGCCTGTCTCTCAGTCTGCCCCCTCTAACTTAGATGACCTGCACTCACCCCCACCCCCTCTTCCACAGCCGAGCAGCCGGGTCCCTGCCCCCCTCACCAGAGCCGAGGGTGCAGCCCGGTTCCGGTACTGCAGCTCGTACTGAAGCTTGCCCTTCAGCAAGGAGGCAGAGTTCTCATAGTCGTTGATCCAGGAGATGTGGTAACTGTCCGAGAAGGTCACGGTCACGTTGAAGGGCGGAGAGGGCTTGACTTGAAGGCAAACACACACAAAAAGGGGGAGATTGCACATGAGGGGAGAAAGGTCAGGAGAAATTCCCCTCGGCCTGGCCCATTAGTTAGAGGTCAGGACCAGGACTTGGGATAAAGCATTGCCCGTTTCTGGGCCTCAGTTCACTCATCTGACCCAGGAGAGACTCAGACTACCCGGGGCCTCCAAACGCACCTGGCACTCAGGCCTTTAACTTTAACAGCAGTGAGTGATGCAGACTCTGGGGGTGGTGGGACACACACTCCTAGTCTAGTGCCTAATGGTTAGGAGTTGTACTGCCATCCCAAAGGCAGGGGGTTCGAAGCCACCAGCGGCTCTGCAGAAGAAAGATGGCCATTCTCCTCTTGTGCGATTTACTGCCTCTGAAAACCCACTTGGAGGGGCTGCTATGGGTCGTTTCCAACTCAACAAGTTGGAACACAACAACAAGTGTAATGTGGATAGTGTGGCTCCTGCCTCGGGCATCAGGGCCAGGAGGAAATGCAGACCAGGGGACCCAATCTGGGTTTTAAAAATAATGTACACTGCATTGAAACAGATGAGGGAGAGAACCGTTTAAAAGGAATATATGAGCAGGTATTACTTTGATGACAAGCGTCCAGAAGAAGAGCTGAATAGAAAGTGGACCGGGGGGCAAGGGGGATTGTAAAACAATGAAAGAATTTTTTCTTTTCAAAGAGAAAAGTGAACTGGGAGAAGGGGTGGGAAGAGAGGAAAATATGCAACAAGGAATGAATGGAAATCCAAAGTCTCTATAAACTTTCATTAAAATTTCAATTAAAAAAAGAATGTTAATGGCAATGAGGGGGGGAAGTCAAACTCCTACAAATCTAGATTATTAGGTGAAATCTCTTGAAATTCAAACCTTAGCTATGAACACACAGTTTCAAAGCAGGTACCTTCCTGCCACTCTGTGCTCTGAATGACTAGATCCTTTTGCTTTGACTTCCAAAGTCAGAAGATGATGAGGGTCCTTCATGTTAATGGTGAAAGGAACTGCTTGGTGTGTGGCCCTGTGACACCTGGGGGTGGAGGGGAGGCCCTGGGGCCACTGTTCGTATCACAGAGACAACCCAGGACAGCAGATGTGACCTGCAAAGGTCTCCTGCTGACAAGTGGCGAGCTGAGAGCTGGATTCAGAACCCCAAACCTGGCTGTGCCCACATCGCCACTGCCCACAGGCAAAGGTTAAAAGCACAGCAGGGGGTGGGGGCGGGCGGGGGTCTCTCCTCATGAGTTTCCTGTATGAACGTGAGCAGGATACTACAGGCGGCATGTAAAAACAGTGGTGGATTTGAACCGTGCACCTTTGAGTTAACAGCACCAACTCCTTCCCACTAAGCCACCTCAGCTCCTTCCCTTTCTAGCTTAAAATTCACAAGCATCTCACTGAAGTGCAGAAGGTGGAGGGTTGGAGAGAACAAAGCAAACTCCTGTTAGTGTAAGAGAAGCGTGAGCAGCCCTGCCCTCTGCACTCGCTTTCTCCTCTGCCACCGCCAGATGTTCTGCACGCATCCCTCTGGAACCGTGTGTGGCACCGGCCTCCTGGCCCGGAGATGCAGGAAGCTGTGCCACCAGTATTTCACACAAAAGCAGCCTCCAGTGGAGCTTCTAGATTAAGATAGACTAGGAAGAAAGGTAGGGAGCTCGGGTGGCTTAGTGGGAAGGAGTTGTGCTGCCAACTCAAAGGGTGCACGGTTCAAATCCACCAGCTGCTCCATGGACGAAAGATGAGCAATCTCCCCTCATGCAACTTAACTGCCTCTGAAAATCCTCAAGAGGGTCAGCTATGAGTTGGTTCCAACTCGATGATACGTAACGTAACATAAAATAACATAAAACATGTAACAGGAAGAAAGGCTGGTGGTTTATTTCTGAGACTCAGAGAATGACATCCCATGAATCACAACACATCACTGTGTAGATGGGGAAAACGGGGGCCATTCGCCTGGAAGACGCTCAGGACACAGTGGCCCTTTACCGAGGGCTTGGACAGGCTCATGAGCGTGAAGCTGGCGGCACTACCTACTGCTGGACATGGGGTCACCGGGAGGGAGAGCCACTGCATGGCACCTCACAGCACCTCTCTGAGATTGTGCTCCGAGAGGAGGGTTCTGTCCGCCTGGCACACGGCATGCGCCTCATCAACAGTTGTTGAGGGAATCAGAGAACCTCTTTTGGGTTCCACAGACATCAATACTACTCTGAAGCTGCTTACAATTTTGAACTCTCCCTCCCCCCAGGGCTCTAACTGTAACCCGAGGGGGTAGACCCCACTCTGAGGGTGTTGCCTTATATGGTGGGTGGTGGAGCTGTTGCCAATATGTCAGTGACAGGTCCATTTGGCTGGACAGTTCCTGACTCACCCTGTCTCTTCCTCAGGACAGGGCACTGGCTGCTGGCCAGCACTGATTAAAGGGGCCAGTAGGGAGCTGAGAATGGCCTCAAGGACCTCAGGGGGTGTTTGTGGAACCTGGAAGGGCTGGATAAGGGCTCTCAGCCCAGGTTGCCCAGGGACCCAAGAGTGTGGCCTGGGGCAAAAGAGAACTCTGCTTGTTTTGGGCACAGCCTGGCCTCAGATCCTGCCAGAGGAACGTGAGGGAATCAGAGAAATGAAGGCATCAGGGTCCTTGCTTTCTGCAAGGCGCATGGAGGGAGAGGCAGGCGTGGGGTTCTACGTGTCCAGCTTCCTTAGAGAGGTGGAAGGCTCCCCACTACTGGGCATGTGCGCATGTGTGCTGATCCCCGCATCTGTGGGTGTGGGGGCATTATTGCCCCTGCCTCTAGGTAAGGGGTCAGTGGGACATCTGCCACTTTATTGAGGGTTTATTTATGGCTGAGAAGGGGAGGAGGGGAGCTGGTACGTTCTGGGCCTGCAGGCTTGTGAGTGTGAATCTGTGTGTGTGCCTGTGTGTGTTTCTCTCTGTGTAGGGGGAGTTTCATGTACACCGTCTGTGATGCAGCCTGGCAGAGTGGGACAAGTCTGGATCCCTAACCCCAGAATATGAATCACAGAGCCCCCAGACCCCTGGCTGGGTCACTGGGGAATGGGCATGGCTCTCTTGGTAGAATGTGTTTGCAGGCCTTTAGGCGTGGCTTTCTCTCCCCTCTCTAGACACCCCACTTGGGGTGCACAGAAACAGGAACCCCGATTGTGCCAGAGCTGCCCCCTGCACTCAGTCCAGCCTGGCTCCGACCACGGACACAGTTGCTAACGTTGTTGTGTACCATCGAGTCAGAACCGACCCACAGCTGGCCCTACAGTGGGTTTTCAGAGGCAGCAAACAGCATAGGAGAGGATTTCCTATCTTTCTCCTGAGGAGCAGCTGGTGGATTAGAACTGTGAGCCTTTGAGTTGGCCACACAGTTCCTTTCCACTAAGCCACCAGAGTCTTTCAATTACTAATAAGTGCGTAGGGTGGGGGAACTCAGAAGGTTTTTCTTTATGATCTAGTGTTTTCCACTTGCCTGGACATTGGGTCAGAATCTCCTAGGGTCAAAGGAGCCTTCATTCTATGAATGGGGAAACTGAGTCCCAGAGGTGGAGTGTGCCTTATCTAAGGTCACACGGACATGGAGGAGAGTTAGAATTGAGGCCCCTGGGTCCCAGGTCCCAGACAAGCTCCATCCCATCTCTGCTGCTTTGCTTTGGGCTAATATCCAAACACAATATCAACCCATCACACTTTAGTAAAAAGTAGTGTATCCGGTCAGTTCTCTGTTGCCTTGGTAACAATCTCAAAGAGATGAGGAAGTCAGAGGGATCAGTTTTTTTTGGTTTGGGTTTTTTTTTTTGTTGTTCCATGCATGTACATTGTGTTTTATTTAATCTCTCATTTACATTTTGTTTCACTCATTTACATTGTGTTTTATACATCATTCATATACATTGTATTTTATAATTACTATTGGTCTATGCCTAATATTTCCTGTCTTTTCCTGTCACCATTGAATCTTTTCTTTTCTTTTTTTTTTTAGAGGGATCAGTTTTGAGGGCAGGAGGAGAGTTAGCAGGGAACAGTGCCTCCTGGGTTCTCCTCAGCTCTGGGGACCCTGGGGTACTCACTGCTTTCCGCCAGGATGAAGCTGCCACATTCCCAGGATTGTCCGCTGGACTGGTCTGTGCTGTTGATGGTGAAAATGTCGTCGGCCATGAAGGGGACCACGTTTATGTGGCACGTGTACCGCGCATGTGTGCCATTGTGAGCGGACAGGTGGAGGGTGCAGGAGGTGGTCTCATCCTCCAGTTCTCCATACGGGTCCTGCCTTCAAGGACAGAGCGGCTGGTCATGGCTCAAGGTCAGCAGTGATCAACCCACAGTGCCAGGGCATCAGCCAGAACCTCGGGCTGGGAGGGGCCAGCAAGGGGGCGAGGGGTCACCTGGACCTAACACCCCTTCCCAGGACAGGTACCCTCCCTGCTGCACAGATGGTTCCAGGCGCAGCGTGCTTGATTTCCAAGAGCTCCCCCTTAAGGGCAGCAGCCCTCATCTTCAGAAATCAGGAGTCACTCTCGACTGGACTGAGCCCAGGTCTGCCCCTGCCATTTAATCAGCTGCTCCACTCGAAGGGTCTTCCCGCCCAGCCTCTCTGCCCACCTCCTTCCAGCATTTGTAGGGTACGTAAAGGGTGCCGAGCTGAGGGCTGAGATCTGATACAAACAGACTTTATTTACGGCTCTGGGGAAGTTTCTGTGGAGCTGGTACAATGGGGCTAGAGGAAATGTTCTAAGGTTTTTAACGCTTGTTAGGCAGGAAGAATGGGTTTTGATGTACGCATAGGAGTTCACCAGATATTTCATTTCCTATACACATTCTATGAGTCGCCTATGACTCGAAGGCACTTAACAACACAGAGAGAGACCAGTTGGCCTAGCGGACCAAAAGCGATGTTACCAAACCAAAGGTGGGTGACTATAATCCGTGGCCCTCAGGCCTGTTTTAAATTGTTGCTCAAACATTCTTCTAGGTCGTCTAACTCTGGTGTGTCCACTTGCCATACAGAGGTAACTTGTGGTTGCTGTGAAGCTGAACACTGTGACACTGACGTGTCAAATGTGATAATGGTTACCCATGGTGAAAAGTGTTTGGTGGTGCTCCCCAGTTAAAACAAGTTTGGAAGCAGGAGTGGCATCCACTTCCTTAATAGCTTGCCTCCGGAAACCCGATGAAGCTGGAGCGAGGATGAAAGTCACGCAGGTGTCGAGGACTTTTGTTCATAGGGTCTCTACGACTTGACGACACTTAACAACAACAACATACACATGTTCTTGGAAGCAGGAGTGGCATACACTTGCTAAACAACATTCCTCTGAAAACTTAATGAACTTGGATAAATGTTGATGGTTGTACTGTTGTAAAATGAGACTGACATCAGGGTTGAGGGAAGACAGAGAAGGAAGGGAGGAATGATGTATACTGCATTGAAACAGATGAGGGAGAGAACTGTTTAAAAGGGACATATAAATGTATACTCTTGTCATTACAGAAGTCCAGAGTGAAGGCTGCACAGTGGAGTGGACTTAGAGGGGGGTAGGGATTGCATAACATTGAAAGAGTTTTTGTTTTCAAGGAGAAGAGTGATTTGGAGGGGTGAGGGTAGGCAGGGAGAAAGTGCAACAATGAATAACTGGAAATCCTAAGTCTCTGTAAACTTTCATTACAATTAATAAATGAATTTTTTTTTTAATGTCAATGGTTGTAGAGGGGCTTCAGGCCTTTTGTTCATGGGGTCACTATAAGTTGTGCTCAACTTGAAGGCAATCAACAACAACAACAACAACAACAACAGAATCCCACTAGATGAGGAGACATGAGTTGGTTTCAACTTGACAGCAAGCAACCCAGACGACACTGCCCCCGCCGAGCCCTACGCTTGTCGTTCTCCCTCCCGCCAGCGCCCTCCCTGTTCCTCAGGCTCACCCTTGCCCTTCCATGTCCTCTGCTTGGACCGCCCTTTCTCCAGCTCCCTGGTCACCTGCTGGACCCAAGATCGCCCTCACCACCATCTCCATGCCACTCTCCCCCCATGCCCGAGTGTCCCTTTCCCTGTCTCACTATGGATTATGTGTTGGTTGTCTAAAGTTTATGCCTGTCCTTCAGCCCTGCCCCAGGGCAGTGTTTCAGTCTCCAAGGGCGACATGGACTTTGTCAGTGCTGAGGTCTGCTGGGTCTCAGTGCCTCCAGCAGCAGGTGGAAGCAGCTTAATCAATGCTTTATGAATGAACATCTTCGTTCATTCATTAAGATATTAATAATAGAGGATGAATGAACACAGAGATATGAATGATAGACGATGAATGAAACCCAGCTAGTGTTGTCACCAGACTGTTTTGCTTTGAGAATTCCAACTCTCTCAAGGCTGTGTGACTTTGAGACAGTTGCTTAACCTTTCTGAGTCTCATGGTCCCCATCTGTGAAAATGAAAGTAACGAGACCCCTCTCGCTGGGTTGTTGGGGGCTGGAAGTGGCAGTCCACAGGAAGCTCATAGCAAGTGTTCACGATAGGTCACATGAGGGTCTGGCTCTGCAGGGTCTCAAAGCGGCTCGCAGGCCGGTCTGATGATGTAGGGAGAGGCAGATGCTCATTTATTACTAAACCACCTTCCTAACACACAGTGGGTCCAGCTCGGGCTGTGCTTTCCCGGGTGTCTGCCCCTGCCCCCCGCTTCCTCTCATGTCCCCAGAACACACTTACCAGATCAGCATGAGGGTGTGGGGCTGCTGCGTCCACGTCTCCAGCACACAGGTGACTGTCTCAAGGTAGTCAGTGTAGCAGGCAAGGTTGGAACAGCTCCAGGCTGGAGAAGCAACAGGGAGCAGCCTTGAGGGGCTGGCCAGGACAGCAGGGCTCAGGGGTAGGGGGTGAGTGGGTGCAGGGACCACAGGGCCTGGAGGACCCTGGGGTCCAGAGGTTCTCTAAGGTGTAATCCTGGGGTAAAGCAGTCGTCGTCATCTGGGAATCCCCCAAATTCCAGTCTGGCCAACGTGCTATTTCCAGCCCCTCCAGCCCTGACTCTGAACTCCAGCTTGGTGTTCCTCCTGGCCCATCACTCACCCCACATCCTTAACACCCTATAAACACAAGGCAAGCTCTGGCTGCTGTGAGAGGAACAGGCTGTGATCAAGCCAGAGAAGGGGAAGCTTGATGTCAGTTTTCCTTTCTAAAAGTGTCAACACCACTTAACCACCGCCTCTGCTAATCACTAGGCTATTGTGTCCCTGCTTAAAACAGATGCTTATTAAGCAGCCCTTTCTTCCACTACAAAGACCCAGGTGGTGCAATAGATTGTCAGACTGCTAACCAAAAGATCAGCAGTTCAAATCCACCAGCGGCTCTGAAGGAGTACTATGTGGCTGTGTGCTTCTGTCAAGATTTACAGCTTCAGAAACTCTAAGAAACAGCTGTGCTCTGTCCTAAGGGGTCACTATTAGTTGGAGAAGATGGCTGTGGGTTTCGAAGCAAGACCCACGTGTCTCACCGTGAGTTCAAACTTGGGTCAACAGCTAAGAACACTTGCTGGGGACGTTCTGACAGATTCTTAAGTCCAAGCCCTGCCCCATTTTAGGGAGAAGACTGCCAGGGCTTGGAGACCTGGCCACCCCCTTCTCTCTCTGGGCTGCTGAGACTCACCCAGCGGAGACACCACCGGGTCTGTCATATCCACACACGCGGCAGACGCCGCTTAGCTCTTGCGACACTGTCTCCCTCAGAACGCTTCTCAGTACAGTTCCCCGGGGCAGCCACTGCCAAGGGGCCTGAGATGGAGACGAACCCTTGCTCTATAAAGAGGGGGAGCTGGTGGCAAAGTCCACAGAGAGTGACGCCTGTTAACCCAGCGGCCTTGTGTCTCTGGAGGTTCAAATCCACCAGCAACTCAGCAAGAGAAAAATGGGCAATCTCCTCCCGTGATTTACGGCTTCGAAACCCAGTAGAGGGTTGGCTACGGATCAGGCAGCAATGAGAGAGTGTTTTAGGAAGAGTTTTCTTTGGGGTGCATGCAGGGCCTGAGGGGGGCTGGTTCAGCTACTCTGTGGGCTGAAAGGGACTCTGTTTGGCAACCCAAGGCTGTAGGAGTCGCCATGATGGGGTCTTCTCTGAGCATACTTTCTCAGGGGTCCACGGACTTGGGAAGGCGCCACCACCACAAGCTGGGGTTGCCAAGGAACAGGACCTGTCTCCATGCCTGAGATGAGATACCAGGGCCAGGCTGGCATCAGGGCACAGCACCCCACCCCCTAGCAGTTTGCACGCTGAGGGTCAGAGAGGCTGTGTGTCAGGTGATGCTGACACACCGCCTGGAGGGACTAAGATGAGGCCATGGGGTGAAGCCCACATGTCCTGACTGGGGGAGACTCACTTGCCAGCACCTGAGTGAGAAGCTAAGACTCCAGGAGTCAGAGTCAGATTCGAGGCCCGACCATGCCTGTGCCTTGTGTAGCCACGGTGCTGCCCTTTCTCTGCACCCTCACTTCCCTAACTGAGCATGGATGGCATTGTGGCAGCGTGAGCCTCTGGGGGTCCACAACACAGCAGTGCCGACAGCAGTACCAGTGTATGTGGATTCCGTGGTCCCAGTGCGTGTGGCAGAGTGGAACTCCATAGGGTTTCCAGGGACAGTTTTCCAGTGGCTTGCCAGGCCTTTCTTCCACAGCACGACTAGGTGGACTCAAACCTCCAACCTTCTGGCTAACCACTGAAGTGTGTGCACCACCGCAGGACCCAGGGGTGGCGGGGCCTTCCAGAGCCAGGATGGGTGTGCTGGCCACTCAGAAAGGGAAAAGAAAAGTGCTGACATCTGTTTCCTGTAGGAGCTATTTGAGGCGCTGGGTCTTTTGGTAAAAACCAGAGAAAGGCAGATGAGTCAGCAGTGGTGGCTGACTGAGTCCCCTGCCCAGTCCATCCTCCACTCACACCTACTTGTTTAGTCCTGTCTCCTGGTGGCCACCTCCTCCGTGAAGCCCTCCTGAATCTCCCAGCCAGGCCAATTCCCCTTCCCTAGGACTCCTGGGCTTCCCCAGGTCCCAGAAGTACCAGCTCTGATTGGTAACATCTTTCCCTGGGACTGTGACATCGCATTCTTCTTTGTGCTCAACCCCCACCCTCCGGACACGTGGTGCCTGCTGCGGATCCAAAGACTGTTGCAAAATGGTTATTTTTTCAGAGAGAGAGAGAGAGAGAGACATTACATAAGGAGAAACTGAGGTTAGACCAAAGTCAGGACTTCCTCACTCTGAAGGCTGAGGGCAAGCCAGGGCAGAGAGCACTGGGAAGGGAGGCCGAGCCTCTCATCGCCCCGGAGAGATGAGAGAGACGTGGAGGCCAATGTTGTGGGGAGATCACTATGCAATGTGAGTGTACCATTTGAGGTGCGCAGAACTCCCTGCCTGAATGGGTCTGGCTGGTGGAGGGCTGGCTCCTCTGCCCAGAGTCCGAATCCAGCCTCGTCAGCTCCTGCTGGGCTGGGCTGTGTGTGTGAGAGCACATATTCGCGTGTGTGTATGTTTGTTTATGTGGGAGTGTGTTTATGGGTGTGTATGTATGTTTATATATGCGTGCATGGGTGGATGGATGCATGTGTATATACACATGTGTACGCATGTATGTGTTTATGTGTGCGTGCGTGCATGTGAGTGCACACACGTGTGCAAACCCCCTCCCCACCGTAGACCCCAGAGCAGCTACTCACCCACTTGGAGCAGCAGCAGCAGGAAGAGTGGGATCCCGCCGGGCAGCATGCCGGCTGCAGGAGCCTGAAACAATGCACACGGGAGGGTGAGCCAGGCCCTGGGGCTGAGAAGCAGCAAGGCCCCTCCTCGCCCCTGCCTCTCCCCCAGAACACCTCACTCAACTCCCAGATTTGCCTCAGAGAAACAAAGGCCTGAGGGCCCACAGCTGTGCCCAGGAATGCCTGGCCTTAGAAAGCCTGGCTCTAGAAATGGTTTCACCCCAAAGACCCCTCCCCACTTCTCCCATGGTCTTCTGCCTCTTACTGAATAACAAATCCACAGTGGGCCCACAGAGGAGCTCCCACCCACGTCCGTGTTGGACAGCTAGGGAGCTCAGAGGACATAGTCCATGCCTCCCTGAAGGTTCAAGTCCACCTGCAGCTCCGGGGAAGAAGGATTTGTTAATCTCCTCCCATGTGATTTACAGCCTTTGAAAACCCGCAGGAGCTATGAGTTGGTTACAGCTTGACCACAATGTGTGTGAGTATGGCACTGACTACCTAATGCTGTCACAGAGAGAGGGGAATTTAAGCAGAGAAGAGAAAGTGACCCTCCTGTCCTGGCTAAACCTGCCCACGTGGCCTCATCTGTGAAATCAAGCAAAGGCGCTTGTCTACCCAAAGACGAACAGGACAAAGGTAGGGAAGGAGGGAAAGTGGTTTGGAAAGGGGTATCTGAGCAGCAGCATTGGGCTCTCTTCCCATGGAATATCATTTACACAATAAATTGGCTTCTTACTGAAGCAGGTCTAGCCCACAAAGAAGATCCCTGCTGAATATTTAGGGCCTCTGTTGTTTTTGCTATGTGCCATCAAGTCGCTTGTGACTCATAGCAATCCCAGGTACAATAGTTCTGAACTCTGCCCCTTCCTGAGCCAGTCTCATTGTTTCTGACACACTTGCCCCCATCACCTTAGTTACTATGTTAACGTATCTCATTCGGAGTCTTCTTGTCTTGTGTTGTCCCTCCACCCTTCTAAGCATGATGTCCTTTTGTAAGGACTAGTCCCTCCTGGCCACATGTCTGACCACATGCCCACAGTACATAAGATGGACCTTAAAATCCTTGCCTCCAAGGAGCAGCCTGGTTTCATCTTCTCCAGGGACCTGTTAGGACTCCTGGCAATCCATGGTACTTTTAATACTCTTCTCTAGCACCACAGCTCAAAGGCATAGATTCTTCTGTTATCCTTTGTCACGGTCTAGGCCATATCCTGGATCAGGCACACCTTAGTCTCTAGAGTGACACCGTTGCTTGGGATCTCCAGGTATCAAAAATTCCCAACGTCAAAGGGTTTGGTTGTGTTTATTTTCTCTTGATTACTGAACTCTTAAGATAAGATTAACTCAATGATGAAGTTTCTTGCTCCAGCACACCTCAGAAGTCTAGGCCTCACCCAGCAAGAACAAAAGGCATCCTGGACAATCTGATCCTGGCCCAGGTGGGAAGGGATCTATTCGAAGAAGAGGACACATGACAGTGTGACGACTGTGACTTCAGACTCAGGGGTCTGGCTGAACTTGGAGTGATGGGAAAGGAAAGATGTCCAGAACAATTTCCTCCCGTCCAATTTTACAGCCTCTGAAAGGGTGAGCTATGGGTCAGCTCTGTTTCAACAGCATATGACAATAACAACTTCCATGAACACCTTCTTTGGGTTCCTCCAGTATTAAGTGGTAATTCTGCCCCATTCCGCTGCCCATCTTGCCTTAAGTCCATCTTTTTATGAGTCTGCCCACTTGGATGACAATTTATTTCTCCCTGCCAAGCAGACAACCTCCTGCAGGTGCCATGACCACATATTCCCTGAAAGAAGAAAGGAATTCTCTTAAGGGCTTTCCTGCCATGGGAGACCCTGCAACTCTCTGTCCCTGGAGACTTCTGCCAAAGAATAAAGAGACTCTGGTTTAGAGTGTGTCGTTGGGCCAATTATATGGCCCTTCTGATTCTCAGTTTACTCATTTGTCAAATGTGGGCCACGAATCTTTGCTGTGTGGGGGTGTGATCACACACCCTGATGTAATGCTCAGTGTAAGGGAGCCCTGGAGTGGTGGTACTCTAGTGGCCAGAAATGATTTCTCGGATTGCAATAATTCAAGACCAAAAGCTGACCAGATTTCAGAAGCAACTAGAGGAGTGAAGACAGGAAATCAGAGAGTGGCAAGTGAAGAATATAAAGTTCTTCCCTTCACCAATCAGTAGGGAAATGCAAACAAAAGCCACAATGACATACCATTTCAACTTTATCAGATGGGCAAAACAATTTACAATCTGGCATTACACATCGCTCAGGATATGGTGTAATGGTGTCTCTCATTCATGGCTGGTGGAAATGCAAATCTATATAACTAGTCTGGAAAATAGTTCGGCATGATCCAAGAAACCTAAGTGCCTACCCTGCTACTCAGCAATTTCTCACGTATGTATACTCCTAAGGAAACCCTTGCACTTGTGTACAAAAGCACATAGATCAGGGAGCTCTGGTGGCCTAGTGGCAAGAAGCTGCACTGCAATCCCAAAGGTGAGCAGCTTGAATCCACCAGGTGCTCCGTTGGAAAAGGAGGGGCAATCTCCTCCTGCGCCAGTCGGATCTGACTCAATGGTACACAAGAAGAGAAAAAAAGAAAAAGCACATAGATCAATGTTTGTAGCAGCACTGACAACAATAATGAAAAAACTGGAAATGACCTAAACATCCAGTGGGAGAATGGAAAAAGAAATGAAGGCATAATCACTCACTATGGAAATAAATCCCTTACAGCAATACTTTTAATCTGCGGCCCTCGGGCCAGTCTTTCATTGTTTTTGTTCAGACATTCCTCTAGGTCGCATAGCCCTGGTGTGTCCACTTGCTGTACTGTGGTCACTTGTGGTTGCTGTGAGGCTGAACACTGTGACGCTGATGTGTCAAATGCGTTAATGGTTGTTTACCCAATGTGGACAGAGAGTGGGTGGAGCTCCCTGATTAAAACAAGCTTGGAAGGAGGAGTGGCATCCACTTCCGTAATAGCTTGTCTCCGGAAACCCTGTGAACCTGGAAAGAGAATGAAAGGCACCCAAGTGTTGAGGACTCTCCTTCATAGGGTCGCTAGGAGTTACTTGGGACTCAACAGCACTTAACAACAACAACAGCAATACACATCAAAGCCAATGGTTCTCACCATCAAAGGGTGGAGAGGGGGAAAGTGAGTTAAAGAACATATCCATAATAATCCCACCCATGTCACACTTACAAACATCTACTGTCATCTCTCAGGGCCACCCCGTCAAAGCCAACTCAGAGCTGGGTTTCCTGAGAAGGTTGCCCATCTTTCTCTTGAGGAGACGCTAGCGGGTTTGAACTGCTGGAGAGGCGTGACCTTTGGGTTAACCTCCAGAGCTCCCTTACAAACATGTAGGGCAATCCATATACTGTTTGGGTGAACACACACATGTGATGAAGGCACGGAGAAATTCATGAGATGATAAACATAAAATTTAAAGTAGAATAAAGAAGCAGACATGCTGAAGGGGGGTCTTTAGGGGCTTCATCTCATTTTAAGAAGAATGATATGGATCGTAATTCCTGTGCTGTGCATTTTTAAAACAAATTTTACTGGTGTTTATATATATATAATGTTTATACTTTGTGTCTTCTATAGTCATTCATGTTGTTGTTGTTGTTGTTATGTGCCGTCGAGTCGTTTGCGACTCATAGAGCCCTATGTACAACAGCCCTAAACTCTGCTCTGTCCTGTGCCAATTGCATTGCCTCTGACACACCCATCCCGATTACCCCAGTCACTGAATCAATCTGCCTCATAGAGGGTCTTCCCCTCCTGCACTGTCCCTCTACTCTACCCAGCATGATGTCCCTCTCCAAAGACCTCTCCCTCCTTGCAACATGTCCAAAGTATGTCAGATGAA